AAATTATATCTGTCTATATTTCTGAGATGAGGTATTATGTACACTATTTACATTATTCGGACTATTGTCCTCATCTTTTTTGCTATATTTATCACAACGTTTCGGCTGATGTACGCTTCGACCTAATTCAGGTGGTCGGAATTATTTAGCTCGCTGGGTTAGACAGTTCTAGTTCTACTGTGCCATGTGTCCTTAAAGACACACGGCACAGTGGATAAAGGCGTTGGTTAGATCCAGTGACAGGACCCAAAGATTTGTGAGTTCAATGCCTGGTTAAGGCAGTGGAGAACTTTGAAAGGGGAACTAACAGGAGATAACTGATAACTGACATAAAAAATTCAATTTTTTAATGTCTGTCTATATTTCTGAGATGAGGTATTATGTACATTATTTACATTATTCGGACTATTGTTCTCATCTTTGTCGCCATATTTATCACAATGTTTCGGCTGTTGTACGCTCCGGCCTTCTTCAGGTGGTTGGAATTTCGAACTGAACCCTTTATTTCGCTCACTGGGGTAGACTGTTCAGAGGGAAATTAGCAGGAGATAACTGATAACTCCCATCCATTAGACATGGCACGTGGAACAGTCTACTCCAGCGAGCGAAATAAAGGGTTCAGTTCGACATTCCAACCACCTGAAGAAGGCCGGAGCGTACATCGGCCGAAACGTTGTGATAAATATGGCAAGAAAGATGAGGACAATAGTCCGAATAATGTAAATAGTTGACAAATTATATCATTGTTTTGATGAAAACTGTTAATTGTTTGAAAAATACTATTCAAGTTTAATAAAATTTAATATGAACACAATGGATGAAATGTCATGACGAAGGCCCAATCAAGAGACCTCTACAGAAACTAGCTTAATATATATATATATATATATATATATATATATATATATATATAGCTGAATATTATTTGACATAATTAAAAACTGATGTTAAAAAAGATTAAAGAAGAAAACTAAACGGTTTCGCTCTTCAAAGTTTTTAATCGGGATAAAAAGAGTAAAATATAATAAATATAATTAGTGAATGATTGATGAGAGGCTAGAGAAAGAGGGAAATGGTAGTTGGGGGAGTACTAGAGAGTAATGATAGCAAGCCCCCAGCATACAGTCACGCTGTTTACAGAGAAATGGTTTGCGAGAGTTGATATACAGTGACTCTAGTACTTTAAGATGAAAGAGAGAGAATGAGAGAGATAGATGTACAGAATGAGAGAGATAGATAAACAGACAGAAAGATACGAGCAGAATGAGATACATAGATAGATGTGAGCTGAATGAGATAGATATGAAAGAATGATACACACACACACAAGCACACACACGCACACACAAACACACACAAACACACACACACACATATATAGATAGATAGATAAATAGATACAGAACCAATGAGATAGATATGACCTGATAGATATATATATGAACAGAATGAAACAGAGAGACGTGAACAGAATGCGATGGCTATGAAAGAATATATATATATATATATATATATATATATATATATATATATATATATATATATATATATATCTCAGGATATTACAACAAAAACATATAAGAATCTCCACACAACTGCAATTGTTTTTCAACCCATGACGATGTGTCCCCTCAGGCGGTTGTATATTACTAGCGAGTGAACGATTAATTTGGTTTCAAAAGCATAATACATTTTCATTTTTGATAGATAGAAATAAACAGAATGAGAGAGAGATAGATTGAAGTGTAGAGAATTAGATAGATATGTAGATAGATATGAAAGGATAACACCTCTCTGTCTCTCTCTCTCTCTTTCTCTCTCTCTCTCTCTCTATATATATATATATATATATATATAATATAAAGAGTGAGATAAATAAATCTAAACAAAATTAAATAGATACGAAAGAATGAGATAGATATGAACAGAATGAGATAGATAGATGTGAACACATACCCACAAACACACACCCTTACATCTATATATATATATATATATATATATATATATATAGAGAGAGAGAGAGAGAGAGATTGATAGATAGATAGACGTGAACAGAATGACACAGATATGAAAGAATGATATATATATATATATATATATATGTGTGTGTGTGTGTGTGTGTGTATGTGTGTATGTATAGAGACACAAATAGATATGAGCAGATAGATAGATAGATAGATGAGATAGATATGAACTAAATGTGATATAGATGAACACAATGGTATATATATATATATATATATATATATATATATATGGACGTGAAGAGAATTAGATACATACATTTGAAAGAATGAGTTAGATAGACATGATAGAATAATATATATATATAGAGAGAGATAGATAGATAGATAGATAGATAGATAGATAGATAGATAGATATGAACAGACTGAAATAGATAGATATAACTAGACTGAAATAGATAGATAGATAGATAGATAGATAGATAGATAGATAGATAGATAGATATGAGCAGAATGAGATAGATAGATAGATAGATAGATAGATAGATAGATAGATAGATAGATAGATAGATAGATATGAACAGAATGAGATAGACAGTACACAATGAAATATATAGAATGATAGATGGATAGGTATTAACAGATTGGGATGGTCATTGTAGTATTAGCTGTTTCTCTATAAGAAAACATTCAGCATTCATTGATCGAACAGCCAGTACTACCTTCAGCTAAAATTCATAAAATCTTTCTCTTAAAACAATTTTTCAGGAAAATAGGTTTCTCAAGTCCAGTAGCTGTTATCGCTCTTTCCAGTACTGATGTGCCGTTTCCTTCCTAACCTTTTGATTGAAGTACTATGGAATGTCAACATGTCATTATTTTCGCTTCCAGTTATAAAATCTCTCTTAAAACAAAATTTCAGGACAATAGCTTTCTCAAATACTGAATGTGTTATCGATCTTTCCAATATTGATTAATCTTTTTTTCCTAATCTTTTGTTTGAAGTTGTGTAGAAGGTCGAAGTTTTGATTATGTCATTGACTACTTTACTCAAGTAAGTGTTAACTTTTGTTACCACCTAGTAATATGCCTTTAATAAAAGTAATGCAATTTTTTTCTGCAGTGAATTGGCTTCATAGACTTTAGAAGAATACAATTGACGAGAAAGAATAAAAAAAGATTAGCCCATCCTTTGGACTGACAACTCTGGGTTTAAATAGTAGCTCGTTTAAAGTTAAATAAAAAGAAAGCAAACTAAAATCTACTTAGTCACCTGAGCGAATTTTTTTTCATTTCTTTTTTTTTATGTCACTAATTTTGAAAAGATAAGACTTTGAAATCAGAGGTTATAAAATTTTCTCATGAGATTAAGTGCTGTAGTTTGTCTCAGTGCACTGAACTGATATGTAATATCAGCCCTCCTATATAGCAATCCTCTTATGTAGCAGTGAATGCAGAGGCATTTTTCTCACAGTATGAAGACAGAAGACCGTTAGACAACAAAGCTATGGTTCTACAACGGGATGATGACAATATCTAAAAAAAAATAAAACAAATAAAAAAAGACATGAGACGACGAGCTCTGTTGGTGTCTTCGAGCATTTAACGAGTTCGAAAAGAGGGGAACCTAGTCCTCTGATTTCCAACACTATAGCAACTATTTCAGCAAAGAGAAAAACAGTAGATATTTGTTTTTGCATGTCCGTATAACCTACCTAACGAACCTACGTAAAGAGCATGAACCTACCTAACGAACTTGAACCTACGTAAAGAGATTGAACTCACCTAACGAATTTGAACCTACGTAAAGAGATTGAACTCACCTAACGAACTTGAACCTACGTAAAGAGATTGAACTCACCTAACGAACTTGAACCTACGTAAAGAGATTGAACTCACCTAACGAACTTGAACCTACTTAAAGCGCTTGAACCTACCTAACGAACTTGAACCTACGTAGAGCTTGAACCTATCTAATGAATTTCAACATACCTAACGAGCTTAAACCTACCTAACGAGCTTGAACCTACATAAAGAGCTTGAACCTACCTAAAGCGCTTAAACCTACCTAACGAACTTGAACCTAAGTAAAGAGCTTGAAACAACCTAACGAACTTGAACCTACGTAAAGAGATTGAACTCACCTAACGGACTTTAACCTACGTAAAGAACTTAACCCTACCTAACGAACTTGAACCTACGTAGAGCTTGAACCTACCTAACGAACTTGAACATGCCTAACGAGTTTCAACCTACATAAAGAGCTTCAACCTACCTAAAGTGCTGGAACTTAGCTAACGAACTTGAACCTACGTAAAGAGCTTGAACCTTCCTAACGAACTTGAACATGCCTAACGAGCTTGAACCTACGTAAAGAGCTTGAAACTACCTAACGAACTTGAACCTACGTAAAGAGATTGAATCTACTTAACGAACTTGAACCTACGTAAAGAGCTTGACCCTACCTAACGAACTTGAACCTATATAGAGCTTGAACCTACCTAACGAACTTGAACATACCTAACGAGCCTACCTAACGAGCTTGAACCTACATAAACAGCTTGAACCTACCTAAAGCGCTTGAACCTACCTAACGAACTTGAACCTACGTAAAGAGCTTGAAACTATCTAATGAGGTTTAAACCACCCTAATGAGAAACCTACCTAACAAGCTTGAACCTACCTAACAAGCTTGAACCTACCTAAAAAGTTTGAACCTACCTAAAGAAAATGAAAACATTATATAAATACATACGTACAACAATCTATTTCTTGTTAACAGTTAATATATTTCAACCTTAAAAGTGGGCAAAGCGAAAGCGCCCGGATAAAAAGAACAATTGGACAGTTTTTATATAATTTATCAACTGAAAAGTAAAATAAAATTATTACATCACATGAGAAATTGTATAAAAACTAAATCAAAGCACCTTGTCTGTTGTATTCAATGAAATGTGAATGAAAGAACGATTGCTGTCTAAATAGACACTACCAAACACACACATAAATCATTCTTTCATATCGATCTCATT